GCATGACGTAGGCGGGCTGGTCGCGCAGGTGTGTCTCGAGGGCATGATTCGAGGAGCACGACGCAGGCGGGCAGGCCGCGCAGGTGTGGTCTCAGACATCATGTGGCCGAGTAGCACGACGCAGGCAGGCAAGTCGCGCAGGTGTGATCTCGGGCCGAGGGGCATGACTCAATCGGGCAGGCCGCGCTGAGGTGGGCTCGGCAGTCTATGGCCTAGGAGCTCGGCGCAAGCGGGCTGCAACCGAGGGACAGGGCTCAAGCGGGCAGGCCGCGCTAAGGTGGACTCGGCAGTCAATGGCTAAGAGATGCAACTCAGGTGGGCAAGGCGCCCTGAGATGGACTCGGCAGTCTATAGCCGAGGAGCTCGGCGCAGGCGAGCTGCAGGCGAGGGATACGGCTCACGTGGGCAGGCCGCGCTGAGGTGGGCTCGGTAGTCTATGGCCGAGAGATGCAACTCAAGTGGGCAAGCCGCCCTGAGATGGACTCGGCAGTCTATGGCCGAGGAGCTCGGCGCAGGCGGGCTACAGCCGAGTGACACGGCTCAGGCGGGCAGGCCGTGCTGAGGTGGGCTCGGCAGTCTATGACCGAGGAGATTTTAAGCCGAGCCGAGAGGGGGTCAGGTAGACACTGAACCTTGGCTCGAAAGAGGCCGAGGCAGAGCTTAGATTTCTTTTCACGAGGACTACATCGGGTAGCCACCGCGGGTGCTTGACCTCTCTTATGGAGCCCGCGGTCGAGAGCCGTTGCTTCTCCTCACGGTCGCCCAGGCCTCCGCGGCGATGTACCAGTTAGCGCGTTGGAGCATCTCTGGCACCGTGGTGGGAGGTTGCTCCGCGAGGGACAAGAGGAGTCTGGAAGGTCGCAGGCCTATCATAAACGCCTGCACTAACAGAGAGGGGTGAGTGTCCGGCAGGCCCCGGATTTGCGTGGTAAAGCGATCCACAAAATGAGAGAGGGGCTCGTCCTCCCTTTGTTTGAGTCCGAGGAGTAGTGCCGCGGAAGGCTTCGGCCGTGCATAGGCCACGAAGTAGAGCTTGAAGTCCTTGACGAGCTGGTCGAAGGAAGTGATCGTTCTGGTCTTTAAGGTGTCATACCACGTGTGGGTCAGCCCTCTCAGAGTAGTAGGGAACGCTCTGCACATCAAGGCATCAGAGGTTCCGCATAGCGCCATTTGGGCGCGAAAAGCAGCTACATGGTCCGCCGGGTCGGTGGAGCCATGGTAAGCATCCAGAGAGGGGAGCTGGAAGTCCAGGGGGACTGTCTGATCCCGTATCTCAGGCATGAAGGGAGACCCTTGGTGTGCTTCCACCTTGAGCTCTCCCTTGGACCTGCGAACCTCTTCCTGCACCTCGTCGAGTCGCTGACTGACGAAGCGCAACTGGGCCCGTAGGGAGTCCAAAGAGAGTGCCTCGGGTTTCGGGCGGCCGCTCGGGTTTGCCATCACTGGATCCCCGAGTGGGGTCGGTCGGACCTGAGGTGAAGTGGGGGGCTCCGGAAGTGTTGTGTGGGCCCGAACGGGCGGCTCGTATTGTCGCAACGGTTGGGCTGCAAGCGGGTGTGCCGGATGAGGAACGAGCGGGATGATGGTTTGCACCATATCCATCAGAGCTCGAACTTGACGGGCGAGGTCCTGGAAGGCCTCGGGTGACACGGGCGTCGAGTTGGCGAGGGCGCCATCGGGCAGCGACAAACCCGGGTCGTTGAACATTTGCCAGTATCGTTCGGAGGTCGTGGCGGGGTGTTCGTCACGATGGCCTCCGTGCGAGGGATGTTCCCCTAAGGCTCCAGTCGGGTGCGACCTGTCAGCTGTCCGAGCCGCTCGGGTGATCACCCGACATTCTGGGCATTCCTTCTAGCGCCAAAATGTTTGCGTAAACAAACTTGGAGCCGTGGCCTCGGGGTCGACGCGACTCGGTTCGGATCCGGATGGCGGGATCTTCCCGGTGCGGCCCTCGGGTTCGCCGAGGTAATCGGCTACGGTGGTCCGATTGGGACGAGGTCATCCGTCTCCGCCGGAGGGTGCTCCTCAGCTGGGCACGCGCCCCGTTTGTAGTCCTGCACACAGGTCGGGTCGGGAGGCTCGACCCGACCCCTCCGACGATCAACTCAGTAGATGGTGGAGGGGGTAAAAAGGAGAAGAGTTTGATGTGTCTCCCTGGTGTGTTCTTTTCCTCCTCTCCCCCCTCGCTCGTTCAGAGCGCGAGGGTATTTATAGGGAAGCTTGCTGTTGTTTGATGTGCCCGCTTGTAGGGGGCAGGCTGGTTGCGTTTGACATTAGTTTGGCGTGGCGTGAAGAGCCGAGCTTGAGTGGGCGTTAATACGCCTCGGGTTGTGTTCCGGTCTGCTTGGTCGGGTATCGTCGCGTCGTCTGAGGCGTGAGGCGTCATCTGACGTCAGCCAAGTCTTATCATAATTACTATCCTCATCAATATATATATATATATATATATATATATATATTGCACTATTACGGTCATGTCATGCTAATGTGGTACACATCTGGGGTGAGAAAGGTCTATGATAAGTAAACTGGATACGGCTTATTTATGATGCTATCTAAAATGAGACACTAAATGATTGCTACATAGTGTTTGGACTTATTAATTGTCCATTACTCCTTGTATGCTCATAATGGATAGGATGAGAAAATTGGGAAGTGAATACTGCCGTACGGTGAATTGATTCATATTTAGAATAAAATAAATAATACTTGTTGAGTGTACGTATGAATGTGGGGCCACCGCATCGTAATCCCATCACACCAAGCTCGAATCTCGACGCAAGCGACGGTCTTCTTTTCAAATCTGATTCGAACACCAATAGCCTCGTCATTCGTGCCACAGTTGATACCTGCTCTGATTCTTTACTGCTGACTCAGTCCCTTCACCGGGCTGCACACCCGATTCGAATAGCCGAATGCCCATAAGCTCATCAGGGCCGTCCATTTAATCCATCGCCGATCGAATCCTCCCGTGACATAGGATTCCCGTCACCGCCGAGTGACAAGGTCCGTTCACCTCTCTTGCTGTTCTTCGCACGTGAGTACAGTGGAAAGATTTCGAATCCAACGCGTCCTCCCACGCGTGGGGCGTACGCACGAGTATGGGCATTTTGGGATGTCCACCATGTGGTGAGCGCGTATGCTACGCTGTAAGAACTGCCAAAAGAAGAAAATAGTATGACAGTCACACCCTCGAAGTTACTCGAGTCGCTTGCGAGTCGTTGATTGGCGAAGATGGTAGTATGGATGCGGGACCCACCTGATGGACCCGAAAGCCGTATGTAAAGGAAGTATCCTGTGGCGCCACGAAACGTCGGTGATTGCGGTCAATCCGCTTCCATCATATATAACGTCCGACATGTCTTGTTTCGTTTCGAGATGCATGTAATACGAAGACAAATCAGTGGTATATAACGGAGATAGGTATGTTTTATTCTTTATAACGTATCGCAGGAGATATCGGCTTGTGACACGTTACATCCATGCATCACACTTTACCCATTCTGCCCCTCCAACGGATACATCCACGGAGGAGACGAAGTGAGCGAGGTGATGCAGAGAGGGATCGGACGATAGAGAAAGGAGAGGAGAGAGAAGAAGAGTGTGGGTTCCTTTCGGGAGAGAGAGAAACAGGCGGAGGAGGAGGAGCGATAGAAGCAGATGGCGGCTCACGTTAGCGTGTGCCGCGGCCTGGTGGTGGTGCTGGCGCTTGTTGCCTGGTTATCGTGCGCCGCCGCGGAGGGAGGGGGCGGCGACAGGGCGGTGAGGCAGCGCCTGGAGGTGCGACGGCACCTGAAGCGGCTCAACAAGAAGCCGGTCAAGAGTATCAGGGTCTCTTTCTCGATTTAACGCCACATAATGCTTCCTTCTCGCTGGATTTTGCTTTCTGGTGTTCGGTGTGGTGACAAATGAAACATCATTTTCTTTCGTCCTTTCAGTAAAAGATTGCTTCTTCTCCACGGAAACCTTGTCGATAGAAGTATTCGGCTTGTTTCCGCATAATGCTGCGGTTGTTCCTATTCTTTTTGTTTTGCCGATTTCAGGATTGCTGTATTATTGTGTCGATCTCTCATCTTCGTTGTAGCATGATGATGAACTGGGCCAAAATGTTTCAATTTCGTTCTTCAATAGCTAAAAGAGGATTCTTTTTCTTCTATTGCTTTAAGAAATTCAAGATTTTGTGTAGATGTTACATGATGCAGCTTTCTTCGCCTCATCAGAAGGACATGCCATCAAGTTTTTACCTTGCATAAAATAAAGTTCTCTTTCCATCAAAAGTTTAGATTTTTACCTCCTTTTTTCCATCTAAAGATTCTTTGGAATCGTTTATTCTACTTCAATCATTCAATTTCTTCCTCTTTTGATGTTTGGGGGGAAAATCACATAAATATGCAGAGTCCAGATGGAGATATCATCGATTGTGTGCATGTCTCTCACCAGCCTGCCTTTGATCACCCTTTCCTCAAAAACCACTCAATCCAGGTTCATCTCTTTCTTCCTCCTCACTTTGTTCACTTCTTTTCAGATTCTCCACTTTTCTTGCTGTATTTTATCAAGCCCTTTTTGCTGATGTTTCCAGATGCGGCCAACCTACCACCCGGAAGGCTTGTTTGATGAGAACAAGCTTGCATCACAGGAGAAGAAGACCCCCTCCACAGCTCAACTATGGCATCAGAACGGGAGGTGCCCTGAGGACACCATCCCCATCAGGAGGACAACCAGGGATGATGTGTTAAGGGCCAGCTCCGTCAAAAGATATGGGAGGAAGAAGCACAGGAGCATCCCATGCCCCTTGTCTGTTGACCCTGACCTTCTCAATGAGAGTGGCCATCAGGTATGGTGCAGAAAAGCAACAAAGAAACCATACTTTGGAGCAAAAGTTGCATCTTTTCTAGACTTGCTTTTGGTTCCTGGCTCATGGCTTTTGTTTCTTTTGGGTGTTTCTTGAGTAGCATGCGATTGCTTATGTAGAGGGAGATAGATATTATGGAGCAAAGGCCACCATAAATGTGTGGCGGCCAAAGATCCAACAACCCAATGAGTTCAGTCTCTCTCAGCTCTGGATATTGGGGGGCTCCTTTGGTGAGGATCTCAATAGCATCGAAGCAGGTTGGCAGGTATATTTCTGATCTGCTCCAGACAAACCTGCAATCTCTTTCTTCTCTGCTTTGGTACATTGAAAGAGCTTGTGCATGCATTAAGTCTTGCTTGCATGTAATAATCAGGTCAGCCCGGATCTCTATGGTGACAACAACACCAGGCTGTTTACTTATTGGACCGTAAGCTATACATTCTACCGCTTTATCATCATTTCTTTTCATTAATCCTGTCGTTCTTCCTTTTTCTTCTGTTGTTATAATTACAACTTTTGCTTAGAACTATTCTATCGCTGTGTCTACCATGTTAGAGATTCAAAACGATTCAGATGGTGTCATTTCATAGATGACATATGCACAATGGCTTTGTGAATTGTGTGTTCTTTATAGTATCCATACGATGAAATTTCAGAGTGATGCATACCAAGCAACTGGCTGCTACAACCTATTGTGCTCGGGGTTCATTCAAGTCAACAATGAAGTTGCAATGGGTGCCAGCATCTCTCCGATCTCCGACTACGATGGTTCGCAGTATGATGTATCCATACTTGTTTGGAAGGTGCAACCAAGCCTCAATCTGCATTTGACAATTCTTATTCACTCCATTTTCTGCGGTAATTGGTATGGTTCGATTCGACGGAGCAGGATCCGAAGGAGGGGAACTGGTGGATGCAGTTCGGGAACGATTACGTCTTGGGTTACTGGCCTTCTTTCCTCTTCTCTTATTTGTCAGACAGTGCGAGCATGATAGAATGGGGAGGGGAGGTGGTGAACTCGGACGCAGACGGCGAGCACACCTCGACCGAGATGGGCAGTGGCCGTTTCCCGGAAGAAGGATTCAGCAAGGCAAGCTACTTCAGGAACATTCAGGTGGTGGACGGGTCCAACAATCTAAGGGCACCCACAGGGGTTGGAGCCTTCACAGAGCAGTCAAACTGCTATGATGTGCAGAATGGAAACAATGGTGAATGGGGGCAGTACTTCTACTATGGAGGGCCTGGTAGAAACTCCAATTGTCCATAGAAACAAACCCTAATCGAATTCCCCCCCTTCCTTCCCCCTTGTACCATTCTTCAGTCTGATCCCATCCTTAACTCAGAGGTTGTTTTGCCTGTTGTAACTCATCCTCTCCCATCCTTAACAAAGCTGGGGAGAGAGAGAGAGGCTGTGTCTGTGTTTCTCTGTCATTTGCTCCATCTTGGAGTCGTTTGTTCGGCTTAAGGCTAAATGATTATAACCAGTGGATCTCGACATGGCTGATGGCACTGCAACTTCTTTAGGTAGACCTATTTGTTCTTACCCACTGCACGTTATAGATTCCCTGAGTTGGTCGGCAGCTTTTCCGAACAAGCTGATGGGCGATGAGCAGAGTGATTACGAAGGATCGGACGAGGCATGACACATGTGACAACACAGTAGGCTGTGGGTCTCTTTCAAGCTTGTGATCACTTTTGATATTGTTGTCAGACGATTTACTTTTTGAGTTGCCAGCTTCTTCTGTGTTCATGTGAGGTGGTGCCGGTGGTGGTGGTGGTGGTGGAGCTGTCCCTGCTGTGTGACAAAATGTCTCTTCTACCACTATTTCTTTTACGGGGGGTGGTGGGATTTTGGAGGCATATATCCTACTGATAGCTATGCGAGAATGCAATGCTTCTTCAATGATCCATAGGATGTGGGAGAAAGTTGGTGGAGGATCAAATCATGAGGTATTGTTATAAGGGGGTGTAAGAGAACACCAAATGAGAAATCTGAAAATAATATATATATATATATATATATTCTCAAAATTCATCCTATCATTTTCTTCTGTTTTTCTTTTCCCTTTAAGCTTGAAAAATCAATTAATTTTAGTTAATTGTAAATATTGCATCATTTGATCTGCCTCTCTTACAACTCTTATTTGTTCTGTCTTGCCCAGACGATCACCAACTCACTAGGAATACCACACCTTATCCCAGTTTACTACTCCCATATTTATGAGTGGCTGATGATTACAATGAATTTATTTATTTTTTTTATTTTATAAAACCAAGATAAAAAAATAATATTTGACGTTAATCGAAGTCTTAGCTAACATTTTTGAACTTTTAATTTTTAATAAATAAGTTTGGTAATATTTAAAGTCTAAAAATATTATATCGGATGATATTTCGAGTCGATATGAAATATGTCAGAATGAGATTTTGAACCCTTAATCTTTGATGAGTGGGTTTGATATATTATCATAGATCAATATTTAGGTGATAAAAAAAATTAAATTTAAACATCTTAAATCAGTAATTAAGTTAATTATTATATCTGAGTGGAGGACCAGATCATGATTCGAGGTGTGCATGCCCACTGAGATGGGCTCCTCCTGTCTCTCTCTCTCTGATACCGGAGGAGAAGACCGTGAAGTGGCATGAATAGTTAAAAGTTCTTAATCATTTCTCAATTTGTTTTGGACAAATTCCCACTCTTTTTGCATCACACAAAATATCCTAAAAAATACAATTTTGTTTTCTTTCCTCCAATTGATTTGGTTTAATCCATTAGACCACTTGAAGATAATAATAATATGCTATTTTTAGGGTATTTTAGTCGTTTGTAAAAAATCCATGGAAAATTATTTGATGCATTTTATGAGAAAAAATAACAATAAGGGGCTTTTTAGCATATCAATATAAATTGAAAACTAATAGTCTATTCTTTCATCTCGTTGCTTAAGACATAAGTTTAAATGAAAATAAAGATAAAATATGATTGAAAAGTATATCTTATTAAATGTCATGCACCTTACAATATATTTTAAAATGATATATGATAATGTGACATGTCTCTTTAAAATATGCAACCATACCATCTTAAATAATAAATAATTCATCCTCATCTTATCATCTATAGGATTTTCTATTTAATTATTCATTAATAAATATTTTATTAAATTTTCCTAATAACTTCACATATATCTCATTACAATAATTTTTTACATCAATTTTGATCACCATTTCCAACCCATCAGAATCGGTCAAACGCTTTCTGCAAATATATGCTGATGCCAATTCCCTTTCCATTTCCTCGAGTTAATCCATCCTATTGTGAAGCCCAGCCAAAGCTTTCTGCAAGTTCTGATGGTTCACCACAGGTAGGTGGATGACAACAGCAGTCATCTATTACACCACACCAAATAAAGAAGAAGAAGAAGGAGAGAGAGAGAGAGAGAGGACAGCTGCAATGCGGGCCTTCCGTCCTTCTCCCACACACCCTGTCATCAACATGCGCCCATCATCTCCTCCTTTCATTCACATTCATTCCTTCATTTGACAGCTTCTTCCTTTCTAAGTCTGGCCTTCTCTGCACAGCCACGCAATAACCACAACCCCTTCTCTCCGACTATATAACCTCCCCCTCCACCTGAACCCATTCCCATCTCTCTCTCCCTCTCTCTAGGAATCTGTGGAGATCATCGTCACAGTTGATATTTTCTTCTCTTCAACGACGATGGAGGCTGCTCTTAAGCTCAGGCTCTTCGCCCTGGCCATGGTGGTCGTCGTCGTGGCCTCTTCCTTGGTCGAGAAAGCCGCCGCTGCTGACGCACCCGCCCCCACCCCTACCTCCGGCGCCACTACCACCGCCCTCGCCGCACCTGCTGCCGCCCTTGCCTCGTTCTCCGCCCTCCTCTTCGGATGCTTCCTCTACTAAGCCACAACGTCATTGTTTCGTCACCTTGTTTCCTTTCCTTTGTTGTGATTTCTTCATGTAGTCATTCTCTTCTGTCATGGTGTCTATGAAGAGAGAGGAAGAGAGAGGAATATGCATGCATCGACGTATGCATACGGCGGTGGTGGTGGTGGTGGTAGTGGATATGTAATCTTCTCTTGGTGTTCATTCATTTATGTTAATGTGATTCTTTCCCTCTTCTTTTGTCAGAAGTAAATGATCTATGCTACCATCTAAGCTTCTAAGCTTCTCAAAAAGGTTATGGCTGCAGAACAATTGCCGATCAAACGCCATTAATTGCGTTATGCTTTGTGCTTTGCCAAGAAGAGAGCAATCATCAGTTGAAGAAACTGGTGATCCCTTTGCTCATCATGGCTTGTAGTTGATTCATTCAATGCATGAAGACAACAATGAGTTGGCAATGCTGGCTCAACATGGCCTTGCTGTTCGCATGGCTTCTCAGGTTCCACAGGGTCCCATGCCATCAATTATAGCATGCTTGTTGCTCCTCCTCTATAATGAGTGCCCTCAATCAATGTTCGAGGTCGATAGGAATTAGAACCTTTACCTTTTGTTGGTTTCATGTGGAACTACATAAAGAGTTGTAGTGATGGGGGAAATATCACTTGTCAACCATATATACCATTCATTTATTTGCTAAATGTTCATTTCTAAAAGCTTAAAAACTTAGTTTATAAGTTCGTCGGGTCTCTCTATACTTGAAGATAATTATTGGTGCTCACATCGCTCAGTACAACCATCGCTCATTCTAATTGGTAGTTGAGACTTTAACTTATATAGGCACCCTTTTAAAATGTAATATGGTGTAAAAAAAATTAGGTTTTGATAAATATTAAAAATTAAGTTTTCAGTAATCTTAAGTATATACTTAAGCTATTAAGGAAAGGATCCAATTTATATTAATTTTTTTACACCCTCAGTTGTCTACAAGCTGGATTTTTTTAATAAAAAATAGAAAAAAATAATTATGTTAAATAATATACATGGCATTGATATTATTTATGCAATAATACACTAATAAATTCGGATGTCTCAACAGAGACCACAAGTTGGATTAGACTTGGCAAATAAAATTGAATAAAAATAAATGATGTGTAAAATAAAAATAAACGTATACATATATTGATGTCATGATCTGCCTATGGTATCATGATAAATATTTTAATTTAGTCACCATTAATCCTTAAATTATTAGGAAATGACTCATGAATATAATCAAATGAGTAGGTATTTCAAGTATATGCCTTTAGAATTTAAAATGATGATGTATACCACCAAGTATTTATTTTAAAGAGATATGCATGTATTTGAAAAGGAGTGAAATATTAATATGATTTTGAAACTTCTGGATTTCAGATATGAAAGAACACAACATATATTGTTCATAGAGTAGGGTTCATTGCATGTACAACCAAAAACTTGATCTAAGTTTTAGTAAAAATTGATATTTCATGTAGGTGGGTATGTATAAAACCTCTCTCTCTCTCTCTCTCTCTCTCTCTCTCTCTCTCTCTCTCTCATACACACATACATTCTATAGACATGATGGAATACAAGGATCACTGAGCATGAATCTTTGATGCAGATCGAATGCATATAAACAAGGGATTCAGTGTCACTGGCAAGTTGACAAGGACATGGAAGCTACTCTTCTAGCTATATGAAAATGACAATACTGCAATTATCAGCCTTCCTCTCTCATGGTCAGTATCAATACACATCTCTCATAACTGGCTCAGCAAAGATATCTTTCCCCCTTATTTTTCTTGATTCTTTTTCTTGGTTGTTTGCATGGCATTTAGTCTTCCATGCCTGACCAGAGTGGATCTGTGGTCGACCTTTTCCTGACAATTTGGACCTTCAAATCACCTCCTTGTCAACATCACTACCTCCGATTTGCTCAAACAATTACAGAATAGGGTAATAAATTAGTGATGATTGAGTTGTTCTCTGTATCATCAAACATTTCTCTGTTTCAGTTCCTTTGTGCAGAATAAGCGAAGCAGAGAGTGTGTGTTGACAGTGTGAGAGAGGGAAACATGAAACCAAGCTTTAGGCAACCACAGAAAGAAGCTGAAACGAGCACTGTATTCGGCTGTAATTTGAAGAGCAAGTAGAATTATTGCCATGCAAGGCAGCTTTACAACGTGATCTTATGGCATGCATTTCCACAAACACATGTAATCTATAGCATTTATTGTCGAGAAGAGTGATCGATCAAGCACTTGCAATGTATCCTCCAAATGAGATGTGTGCCCTCGTCATGGGAGCTCCCCTCGCGGCTGACAGTGCCTGGTTTAGCCTTGCTGCCTGTTGCACAACCTCCTTCATTCTCTGCAATCACATCACACAAGAGGAACTTAGGATGGGATTAGATTATCTTAATTGATCGATGAGCAGTACCTTATCGTGGGTGTAGATCTTGAACTGGATCTTAGGTTTCTGATGCTGTCGGCAGCCAAGGATGAAGATGCAGATAGTAGCAGCAGCAGCTGCTGCTGCTGATGCTCCCATGGCGCAGAAGGCTCCAATACCTGTCGATCTCCAATTCCCCGGAGGAGGAAACCCGAAGCCTTTGATCTCGGATCCTGCATGATCTTTCTCTTCTCCCTCTTCCCTGACTTGCGATTCCACGTCTGGTGTGACGACGCCGATGTCTTTGAATCCTTTGGCTTCAGCATCATCATCTGAGTTATTCTCCATGGTTGGCTCTGAGTTCTGCTGCTGCTCCAAGAAAGATTGTGATGGGCAGATGAAGTAATTGGCATCAAGTGTGAGCTCCTTGAGCACCAAATCATTTTGACTGCCATGGCTGAAGTCCAGCAAGCTCTTGTCATCAGGGAGGAACTCCCAGTCATCGAGATCCCTCTCCAGGCAAGATTTCTCCATGTGATCAGAATTAGGGACGACTGTGTGTGTGTGTATGAGAGAGAGAGAGAAGAGAGAAGAGAGAGAGAGAGAGGACTTATCCTTCCACCTGCCAAGACTTTTCCTATAAATCTAATTCCCAACTTTTGTTTGACGACTTGCAGAGGAGGAATGAGTTCTAATTCCTCGAACAGTTCTTGTGCATGATTGGGCTGTCTGCCAGTCTCTGTCTTGGTCTCTCTCGCTCTCTCTGCTTCACACATTAATTCCAATATGCACAGTTAAGGTTTGGGTTCGTTCGAGCGTCACGAGTTGGTTGCGGCAAGGCGATTCGAAATGGGTGCGCCACATGAACCGGGCGACTCGGGCGTGCGGCTCAATTAAATCAGGGATTGGGTTCCGTTGAGCTCGAAGTAGTTGATTGGGCTGAACCATTTCAGCCAACTAAATCCTTCCCCATGACGCGAACCGGAAAGGACGAACCATTGCTGCCCCTCACCCGCACGAACTGTCGCTGCCCGAGCCGCTCTCCTCCCTGTCGAGCAGCTGCTCACCCCTCCGGCGGTACCTCTCTCTCTCTCTCTCCCTACTTCCCTTCACTCTTCTCCCTTTTCCACCAGCAGCCGCCGCCCTCTCTGCCTCAGGCAGCCCTTTGGCGCCTCCGTTCTCTCTTCCCCAGCCGCCGCCATTGTTGATGCACCGATGCCTTTTTTTGCTGATGTGATGCCATTGGGTGCAAATGTCACGTTTATATGAAAATTAGGAAGATTTCGACACACTTCAAAATAAAACATGATGAAAATTCTAAGTTTTTTTAATCCAAATATTTTAGTAGCCTTATAATATTTGTGACAATTTACTGTGAGGGAACGAAAATAAAAAAAAAGATAATATGTTATTTTATTGTAATAGTTGGAAATTCGGCTTAGCTCAGATTAGATTTCAATGGAAAACCTATTTTCTTAAAAGGATTTATATTTTTATGTCAAAGAAAGAAACCCTCTTTGGGGAATATAGGAATGTAAGCCCTAATTTATATATTATATTTGCCAAATATGAAGCTTTTCCCATGAAATTTTAATCTTGCGTCGGAAATGATATTGTATTTGTCAATGCATGATGGAGTGGGGACAGAACTGGAATTTACGTATAGGCTCCACTCTGCCTCGATGGGCCGGGCTTGAAATAAAAGCCCATTAAGACAATGCTACGATTGGCCCATTACATGCTCCTCTAGGGTTTCGCTTCCCTCCCCTGCGGTCGGTTTCGCTTCTGGATATCTTAGCACGGGCGACAGCGCAGAGAGGGGTGTTTGGTTCCTTTTCCTCGAGCTCGTCTCGGTAGGTTGTCATCCTTCCCGATCACATTACTCTTCTTGGCTTCTCTTTGATTGGTTGCTGCGATGTTTTTGAGTTTTGGCGATATGCAATTGTTCTTTCTTTCGCGTTTCTTGGTCTTTCATCGTCTTCATCAGATCAATTTGTACAGCAGATAATACTTGCGTTCCCGTCATTCTTTAAAGGTTTAGTTGTTTGCTTGCAACTTAGAAGTAGGTCATCTAATGCCATGCAGTACTAATGTGGAAGTTGCCTTTGTGCGTGCGTGAGAGAGAGAGAGAGCAGTCCGCGTTGTAGGACACGAAGGCCACAAGAACATGTCAATATAAAACCCATTTGTCTGCTAAAGTCCACAGCCTAAAAGAGGGGAATCAGCCACCATAGCAGTTGGAAAAATGTACTGCTTTCATTAGATGGGGGTTGAACCTTAGACCTCCAGTGATGGATGAGAGATGCTATACCATTCAAGGATAAGAGATACTGGAGAGGTTACTACTGTTGTTAGGATTGTCATTTATTTTTAATACATAATGAAAAGAAAATTTTGTGAAACCGAATGGCTCAAGTTTGAGCCCAACAATCTATTCTATGTTTTCTTCACAATAATGCATTTGTTTTGCTCGTAGTGGCAGCCATAGTAAAGATTGAAGAATCAAGTTTGAGATCAACAATGCATTTCCTGCAAGATAACGGAATTGTATACCCATCAAAATTTTGTTGTAGAATCTTTTACAAGTTCCTCCAAGGAAAATTCTAACTTGGCTTTGTTCTAAAATGCATGTTTTTTTGTATAACTCAGTTTAATTGTGTCTATGATGGTTCACTTAACTTAAGATTTTCTTGCTACATATATGGTTCCTTATGTTATTTGCATGATGCAAAAAAATTGTAAGAAATATTGAAAAAGAATTGTTGATGCGCTGATGCATTTTTTTGCTGATGCGATGTTATTGGGTGCAAATGTGGTTACCTGTGTCATTTTTTGTTCAATATGTCATGTTTATAGATCAGTCTTGTGATATGCAGGAATAAATTGACTCCTGAGTTGCATACAAGATGAGATTAGAAAAGTGTTGGTTCTGTTCCTCAACCATTTATCCAGGCCATGGAATTCAGTTTGTTCGAAATGATGCAAAGGTAAGGCCATGTTTTCCGAATTAATTCATCTGGAAGACTGGTTTCCAGGCTTCTTCAAAAGAAAGGTGTTATAATATAAAATTGGGAGACTTGTACCATTTGAAAATATGATTGTTACTCATAGTACTACAAACTTGGTTGTTTGTGTGACTCTTGTGCTTTAAGCTCCTTCACTATTATCTGACAGACTTGTACTAATCCTTTATATGTCATAAATCTTAACCCTATTATGATATTATTTTAATTGCATGTTATTTCAGTTTGCTCTCTTCGTTCATCTATATCTAAATTGGTTATATCCATCTTTCATTATGCAGATGTTGTTTTGATCTACAAATCATGCTTTCATGATGAAATCAAAATGGCCCTAAATGGTCCTAGTTCATTACTTGGATTATGATTTCATATGATTGTAACAGATAAGTCTTTATTGTTGGTGAGAGAATGCCATAGATTTCAAGATTGAACTTGATTATTTTCTTTTATGTACACACACACACACACACACACACACGTGTTCTCATTCTTTTGTTCATTAAATTTTGATCTCTTGTTTCCTTTTGTTTTTTATATTTTCTGAATTGCTTGAGCTTTAGAAAGGACAAGGAGAAAGGAACCCAATGATCCACAATTTGATTCATGATCTGATATAATCTTTGTTAGGTGTAATGCATTCATATTTTTCTGTTCATCAAGTGTTTGGCTCTTATTTACTATTATTTTCATGTTTTCTCAATTGTTTGAGCTTTAGAAAGCACAAGAAGAAAAGAATCTATCTCTCATGAACCCTCTTAGTGATTCTTATCTGAAGTAAAGTAGTCTTTTTCTTAGTTTTTATGATTTTTTTAGAATTCTAAATTATTTTCATGGATTCCACTGATCTGATTCATTAATCAGACTGATACTGATCGTTCTGCCATCGTAAGATCTCAATCCCTATTTTGAGCGATGGGCTTCTTACAGAATTCTAGCATGCATTATGGTCTTTTTAGCTTACCAGCAGTCAACAAGATGCCATGGAAACAGGTGTAGTCCAGTGCTTATTGGATGAACATGCCTCATTCAGTTTTATGAAAATAGATGCTATACAAAGAATTTACTTTAAAACCCAGTCAAATGAAGGCATTATGTTCAGTTTCATCAAAATAGATGCTGTACCATATGTCAAGATGAGATTGGGGTTGATTTTGATCAGATCTGTGTTAAAGAAAAACTGATCTTGATGTCCCAACAGATTGACATAAGTCAATCCGTAAGTGCACGAGTTCCAATATGAAAACCTGATTCATTTGGTTTGATTTGGTTAGTCTTTCATGTTTTCCAATGTTTGGACTCATGACAGTAGTACAGTGGTGAAAAAAAACCCCATTGGAGAAGAATGAAATAGAACATGAAACTGTGGGCTCCTGTGTAGTGGGAGGAGATTTTATGATGAGATAATATCTAAACATTCTATGTTTTAGATGATCAGATTGCGTCATAAGTATAACGGATGGTTGTTGACTGGCATCTGATCCAATTATGAATTAGACAATCAGAATAGTTTAATTGGATTGTACTGATAAACAATCAGATTAAGATTTGTTCCAATAAACAGTTCAAATTTGTTGAGATAGCATCATATCTGATCCATTGAAAGACATCTTTGGGGAACTATATGAAGTAAAAGCTACATAGGAACTTAGAGCCAACATTCTTCATTTTGTATGCCAAGTTGTGCAGAATAGCTTAAGCCTATGGCTCCGCTGCTTCTGATGATTTATATTATCAAGGTTCAGTTATGTATACATACAGTTTGTATGTCAGCCATGGTTTGTGAAGTCTAATGCGCATGAAAACATTATTAGCCTATAATGTTGTTTGCTAGTTCCTATTGTCATCGATGAAAGTTCTTTTGCAGATATTCCGATTCTGCCGATCAAAATGCCATAAGAATTTCAAAATGAAGAGAAATCCTCGCAAGGTGAAATGGACAAAGGCGTATAGGCGATTACATGGGAAGGATATGACTCAGGTTAGAAATGCTAGTGTGATACTTTTTTCTGTGTTTCTTTGTTTAAGTTGCTGAAATTGCATGACACGATGACTATCTAATGACTGCTATCCCTGTTAAGGACTCGACATTTGAGTTTGAAAGGAAGCGTAACAGGCCTGAAAGATATGATAGGAATGTCACAGAGATGACGCTGAAGGCTATAAAGAAGATTGACAAGATCAGAGTGACCAGGGAGGCTCAACACCACAAAATGAGGTTGGTTTCCGTTACGAGTGGTATCCCATTTTCTTCAATTTGCAATTTATATTCTGATATGCCATACTCATATATCTCACAGGATGAAGGGTAATAAAGCAATCGAGCAAGAGGCGGCAATTAAGGAGTTGGAGAACAGTATTAATTTGGTCAAAGCACCTGCTGCCCTGCAGCAGGGATCAGAAATTACTCTTCCAAAGATCAAAGTCAAGGTTTCTCAATCACAAGATGTGGGAGAGCGAATGGAAGAATAATGGTAATCTGGACATTCATCCATCCTCCAATTTAAAAGTGCCATATTAAGTTTTTGTTTTCTTTTGTGTGTTTGCACAGTTTATGAGTGGGTGGTTCCTTGGAACATTCTTCTACTGAAAGATGGATGGATGCTTTGCCATGGATGTAGCTGAAATAGTAGTTGGGAGAACAACATTTTGTGCTTAATTGTCTTGGTTGGTAATGGATGGTTTTTTTTTTTTTGTTTTAGTGGACACGTTATTTGATCACATTAACAGAAAGCTTCTGATGCAGCTCAAAAAGAACATGGAATGGTTGCAATCTTCGCATTTCGTGATTGATTGATATTACTAGTGTTGTTGTCATCGAGCGTTTCCCGCCCCGACGAGGTGAGTCGAGTGCCTCAGAATTGGTCCGAGAGGGCAAATTGAAGCAGGTGTGGTTTGGAGGATTGATTGATTGGGCTCACCCCATGCGTGCGAGCCCTATCGACACCACCACCTTGTGTCGCGCGATTCGACATGTGGTGGCCCTTAGGCACGTTGTTGCATATACCTTTTGCAACCGAGAAGAAACCTAACCTAAACTGTGATCAATTCATCTGCATGGCCCTTAGCCCTTGGGCTCGTGGGGGCCCGTCCGACGTTACCTTCTCCCCTCTCATGAGGGGCAGAACCCTCCCTCCTCATCCTCTTTTTTTACTCCATCCTATTTTTTTTTTAATATAATAATAATAATAATAATATTTCTATTTAATTATAATTTTTATATAATTTTAATATTTATGAATATTTTGCTTGTACTCAAAGCGACAACTTAGCGCCTCCAGCCTATCCCTACCCTCTTTCTCCTCCATCGTTGTCCTCTATCAAGCCTGCCTCCCAACAGTCTCACCCTCCCCCCTCTCTACTCGGTGCTTCTTCCGTCGACCAATTTGTGTGTTGAACGGATCTATTTGAAAAAGTATATATATATATATATA